AATTCAAAAGAACGAAGCAATTTCCCGCGCGATGTCCGCGCCCAAAAGATCGAACCCGAAACGAAAGAAACGACGTCAACATTTATTAATCGCGCTCGTGGTGGCGCGCCAGACATCCATCCGACCAATCTCCCAACCAGCCGTCCCCGGACACACCCAGCCCCGAAGAAGCGACGAAAAAGACGAAGAAGCAAGGGTACTGATGCAATTTTCCACCAATCCCGATTTCCCGAAAGTGGTCCAATCTTCCCAGCTTAGGACCCCTTGTTGCAACCGCGCAGAAAATCGCGCGTTACAGAAAGTGGTTCGTCACAAGGGAACGACGGGATAACGACCCGGGACAAAGCCTAAGCGTCCGCATCTCTACGTAGGCGAACGATGGGCCGCGGTGGTGGAGAGGTTTGAGCCGGCATTGGACTTCTTCTACGGTGTCTGCTTCTGGATCCCTCCGTGGTGGTGACGCCATTTCCTCCGGATTCCTCCCGCGGTGGCTCGGGGTTGCGCGCCGGATCGCCTTGTAGTAGCCGCATGGCTGGTTCGTCCGACTCTTCCACTGGCTGCTTTCCTTCCGCTTTTTCTCGCCTCCTCTGGGCGGCGACTTTGTCTTCCTCCTCACTCCGCTCGTCCGAACTATCTGATTCGCCTGACTCACCTTCTCCCTGCTCACCTTCCTCAGATTCGTGGTAATCGGGGTCGTCCGATCCGACCTCCGAATCTTCTTCTTCGCTTTCCTCCTCTTTCTCTTCCTCTGCGTCTGCGCCGTCAGCTACTCCTTCCATCTCCACCCGTTCGATGATCGGATCCCAGAAAGTAAGATCGGTCACGTCAATAACCAGATAATGGCCTGAGGAGGGATAGTTGCAACTGTCCTCGTCGAGCTCGGTGCACGTGGACCACAGCAGATGCAGCACTAGCGTTCGGGTGAGTGCGGCTGGCGCAGACTGCTCGTCACACCTTGAAAGAACGTCCGGAGGCAGGTCGTCTAGGAGTTGGGCCAGGAACATCAGAACTTTCCCCGTGATGGGCTCCAGATGGCCGTCCCTGACCTTCCCGAACAAAATCCCCAGCAGTTCTCCCTCCGTATCCGTTCTCCAGGCTTGGACGATCAGCAATTCCACCTCGTCATCGGGGACTTCGTCTTACTCCTCTTTATCGGCCAGCTCAGCCCAATGAAACACCACCTCGAGAAGGCAGAAACTGAGCGTGACGTACGCATGCCACCACTCCGCCCACTTGCCCACGTCCAAGATTGGCACGTCCAGCTGCTTGATCCGAAAAGAAAGAGGTGTCCGTCGTGGACTGCCAGAAGGTAGGGAGATCAGAAGGAATCCCGAACGTCGAGAGGCGGTGCCAGTTCATTGAGGCGGCGCGAAGGGGAGAAGCTCCGGGATGCTGACCTCCGGTGCGTCAGGAGAGAGTCGGAGCTGGCTGAGATCGATGTTGTTCGTGGAGTTCATCCGATCACCGGGCTGTGCTAACAGTTGGACCCAGGCGGCCGTGAGATCCCGTGCCCAGAGTCCCAACTGTCGGAGGACGCCTGTATGTGACGCTGGATGCACTGTCGTAAGATCGCCAGTGAAGGCGGTGATTACCGACACGTGGCTGATGCTTGGTGGAGACAGCCTCAAAAAGGCCGACACCTCAGCCAATACTCGCGTCCGGTCGCCGGTTCGTGCAACCCGAAGTTCCGTCGCCGTGTGGATGGCCGCTGAGCTGAAGAAAGCCGTGAATCGAAGCAGATTTGGACTCAATCGTGGCCGCCAGGGCAATCAATGCTGGCAGGAGCTCCCAAAATTGTTTTTCTATGGTACTTTCAGTCTGTAAATGGGACGCTGGACCCGTTTTCCAGCAGGTGATGGTCCCCACCACTAGATGGAGCCTCTCCCCAGGTGTTAGTGGTGTCTGCTCTTGTCATCACCACTAACACTGGTGGGGGACTTCAAAAAAAAAAAAAAAAAAAAAAAAAAAAAAAATTTGGCCGCTGCACCTGCCGGATCGACGAAATATGCCCCCCGGGTCTCATTAGACGCTCGCTGATGACCTGCTCAGTAGAAAAGCTCACGGCGATGGGGGGGGGAGATAACTCTAGGGGCCCTCTTTCTCCCCTCTCGTCTTCTTCTTTTCTCTCCTTGCCTGACAAATTTTGTTATTTTTGCGAAGCAATATCACGAGTCTATTCGGTTCCTATGCATCCTAGTGGGGAAGGATACATCGAGTGGGTAGACTGTGGACGGTGTGTCTCTCAGGCCCATGGATCCTGTATCCAATATAGGAATGCGGATAAAGCCTGGTTATGTCCCTTGTGTCGAACCGATAAAATCCCGACGGAGGCTCGATTCCTCGAGGCCACGTCCGAAGGATTAGAAAAGACAAGCAGATTTCGACGGGCGGAAGTATGGATGGATGTCATTTTGATAGCCACAGTGGTCGGAAACTCCCTTCGACAATTCACCAAGGGACATCGGAGGTGAGCTAACGAGAGGGCACAGGATTACCGATGGAACGACGGGCGATTAGAAAAATGAAAGACTGATGGTATCGGATTTGGATGTCAGTGCCTCATCCATTCATACGGTACGACTGGGTTAAGTCAGCCCACGAAGCAACCGCTGCTCACTTTGCTGTCAGGATCACAAAGGCAGCAATTGACAAAAACGAATGGGATTGGTCCAATATCCGGGACAATGTTAAATTCATCGTTAAAAATTGCCCGGTTTGCGCGACAGACAAGGCGCCAATTCAGCCGCCTAGGTCGATAGTGCCTACCATAGTCGAGCGACCGTTCCAAAGGGTTAGCATGGATACGACGGATATTGTCGTACCCCCTGGACCGAATAGCTGTGAATATTCGGTCCTTCTGGTATTCGTGAATCATTTCTCGAAATGGACCGAAGCTTACCCCTGTAAAACGCGACAAACAACGGAAATTGTGCGATATGTCAACCGCTTCCTCGGAATGCATCAGGACACTGAGGAAATCCTAACGGACAATGGGGCAGAATTCCGAGGTGAAGTTTTAAGGAGCCTAGTCGTGCATGGCATCTCCATTCATAATACGACTCCCCATATGTCGCAATCGAATGGACTAGTAGAAAATGCGAACCAGGTGATTAAGACAGCTCTGCGACGAAGTATCGCGGCTCGGGACACGAGGCCCTGGCCCGATATCGTAGACCACATCCTAGCTATCCACCGAGGGACACCCCATGAGTCCACCGGTCTGACCCCTTTTCAGCTACGGACCACTAGCTTAGCCTGGCCTACGTAGCTTTGCCGAGCCTGAACGACAAGACGACCCTTGCGCGACGAGCCACGAAGGCAACGGTTAAGGACAAGGCTCAATGCCACTTGGAATTGATGGAAAAAGCCCTCCCCCGGTTAGCCCGAAAAAGACAGCGAATGACCAAAATGGCCCACAGACAACAGGTCCGGAGCTATGAGGCCCGAAATGGGAATGCTCGGCCTCGGCCCCAGTATAAATTAGGAGACATACTGCAGGTAAGGAAATGTGCTCGCGAGGGCAAGTTAGCACCACGATTCTTCGGGCGATTTCACGTAGTTGAGCTCGGTCCTAGCGGAGTAATGAAGAAGAAGAAGAAGAAGAAGAAGAAGAAGAGAAGACAAATCCCCCTTCTCTCGCCAATCTTCCCAGTCTTATTCTTTCATAAACAATAATAATAACAATGAATGGCTGCACCAGAAAAAATGTCTGACTCTCCCTCTTACTGCCAGCACAACATGAGGTCCACCATAGCGACCTTCCCCTTCTAGCCCTGGCCCTACCAGACTCGTAAAATTCACACGGCCTCCAAAGGTACTAACTTTTTGTCTTTTTCTGCTCGACCTACTACTCAAGTCCTACCCTAAGCTACGAAGCTACGTGGGCCTACACTACCGCTACTTGAGTGCTAGCCTACGCTCTAGTTGAGTGTTTCCCCCCTGCAACCCTCAAAGTCACGGCCACAGGTAAGTACCGGCCCCGAGGGTCTCCCAAACAAACGAGTACCCTGGTGGGTCACACACACACACTCAGGCAGACATGCACTCAGACAGGCGCACGGAAACCAGCAATCACGCACACACACACACTTAGAAATCTCCGCAGAAAGTGGGAATCTCAGCAAGGCCCACATTCCAATGGCAAAACTCAGAAATCAGCACGGTTCTCGACTGTGTTTTTGCAGGTCATTACAAAACAAACAATCACTCACACTCTCACCCACTGACTCACTCAATCAACCATTCAATCAATCAATCAACCGATTCGGGGCTGATCGATTCGACACGTGAGTTGTTACACTCCTTTTCTTCCCTTTTCTTCTTTCCTTTATAGATGATTTAGAGTCTATACACAATAATAATGACCAGGCGTTCTATTCGGGTGAATACGGTAGTCTGAGGCAAAATCGTCTGGCAGTCAGTTTAGGCCTAAAAGCGAGTTCAGGGCTGAGTGGTACCTGATTTTTGGCAGTTTAGGGGATTTGCAGAAAAGCCCCTGTCGGTTCAGCCTGAGTTTTAGTTCCCGGTAGGTCCCAGAACGTAGAAGAATTACAGAAATGTCCTACTTTGTGGCACACCCGGCTGAGAAAAGCCGCAAAGAGGGCAGGCATGTGAGTAAATACTAAATAGTAAATACATGTAACCTGCTGGTGGAAAAGGAAATGTGCCCGCAGCCTAGACAAAACCCGAGCCGCAAGGCTACGTTCGTAAGAGAACCAACAACAAAGATGCCATAAGCCTTCTGAACGGGCACAATGAACTTTGGAGCAAGACATTATTCACTCACTGCCCACTTGAGAGTTGTCGTTTTTTTCTGGGCTCATTGTTATGCATCTTATCATACTGGCAGTTAAATAACATAAAAAACGCCATGCAAAAGGTTGTGGGATGTGGAAGTAGCCAGCGAAACAAAACCTATGAAGTTTATGTGACAATAGTTTCTTTGTGGGTTTGCGACATCAAGGAGGAGTTAGGTGACACGTGATGACCACATTATGGAGTGAATGGTCTTGTTTGTATCCATGTGCTCTGTGTGGGCTGAATTTCTGCATATGTGATACGTGATGACCACGTTATGGAACCAATCACTTCAGTGTATCGAGTGACAGCCAAGGTTGGGAACTGTTGTACGATCAAGTCTTGGACACAATCCTGGCAAACGGAAGCTGCACATCTAGGTGAGGATCTCAGTGTGATACATCAATTACATTCCACAGTGGTGGCAGGCTATCACCAGGGGGCTGGAGAAGAAGGGAGCAGAGTGTGAAGGCATCCAGTGACAGCCAACGGCAGGAGCTCCTGTACAAGAAACTCTGGAACTTAATACAAAAGAAAGGAAGCTGCAGGTCTAAGAACACTGAAACATACCAAATGATTTGATGCCGATCGTCAGGGGAAATCTTAACAATCTTGTCAATTATCTGCGCTACCTCTATGTCTCCCTCAGCTCTTCTTGTTCTGAGTAGTCAACAAAAGCAAAGAACGAAACATTCAGCCAGATTTAGAAAAATTGCAGAGTTTTTACATATGTGGGCCTGTGGTGGCAGTGTTTGTGACTTGTAACAGCCTCGTAGAGCTACACCCCCCCTTATCACAGGAGTGAAGCCATCTTTTAGGGCATGCCCATATGCTGACCCTTTTAGACTGTACACAAAATAAAAGACCGGCAAGGAGGTTGTGTCATCAGCCAGCTCGAACACGAGTCCTCGGGACCATTGGACACGTAAACCCCAGACCTGGGCGTCCGCGTTGGTCTTCCCTTCAACTCACTGATGCATGCCCAAGCTGAGCCGTCAGCAATGCAAAGTCCAAGGATCATCAACATGAGGAAGAGGTACAATCTGACACATATGAGGACTCACATCATACATGGGCTGACCCGACAATGCACAAAAGACAATGTGACTCAGATCTTATCTCACTCAGAGCATGGAGGGGTCCAAACACGGACGAAACCTCCCCACTTCCATCGTACACCGGCAAGATGTGTGATGGGAGATGGAGGAAGCAGTACAGAAAGAAGAGCAAGAAGAATCATTGTATCGTACTGCCAAGTAATGATACTCCGTTCTCCACCTAAATCTCCTCTCCTCCAGTACTCCTAAGACATGAGGTCACAAATGTCAACTCTGGGAGGTATGCTCTCAGTACAACAATGCCAACTCTCTCTCTCTCTCTCTCTCTCTCTCTCTCTCTCTCTCTCTCTCTCTCTCTCTCTCTCTCTCTCTCTC